TGGACACAGAGGAGTATGTAAGGCAGCAGGGAACCTCCTGGGAGGTTCTCGTTTCCTTATCCTGCTCCTGGGAACATGCAAAGAAACAACGTAGGGATTGTGAACTGGGAGAAGCCTGGGCACACAGGGATTTGATGGCCGAATCTGCACTTTTGGAGGCGCACACACATCCGTGTGCCTGAGCCAACACAACCAAGCCCGGTAAGTGCAGTCACATCTAAGTCTAACGCAGTGGCTCTCAACCTTCCTCCTGCCACGACCCTTTCATACAGCTCCTCGTGTTGTGGTGACCCCCCAACCACACAATGATTTTCGTTGCTACTTCATAACTGTAATTTTGCTACTGTTATGAATAGGGCGACCCCTGAGAAAGGGCCGTCGACCCCCAAAGGGGTTGCGACCCACAGGTTGATTTAATCTCCCGACAAGCCATGACACGGAGCATATTCTTAATTTAGAGATGGGTGGAACAATTACAAAAATATAATATTTTGTAACATTGCACCAAAAAATTGTCATAAATTTAAATAGTTTTAAAGAGAACAGATATATGAATGTAGCAAGTAAAGCCTATTGGCTATCTCCCCTGGTGGGAACACAATTCTACATTTTACTGAAGTGTGATCAGTGTTCCTACGCTAACTGAGCAGCAGGAAAAGCAGCATATGCCATTACCCACTGTAACTGCAAATGTAAGACACTGAGCACAGACAGACGTGATCAGGGTTTAAAAACTCACAAAAACTAAAACCCCCATTTGTTTAAGTGACACAAAGTTCTCTTCTGTTTATGCTTGGAGTCCTGGTGGCAGGGTAGTTATGCATTGGTCTGCTAGCCTCGTGGTGAGCAGTTCAAAACCAGCAGGGGCTCCACGGGAGGAGACGAGGCTTTCCACTGCTGTGAAGTGTCACAGTCTCGGAGCCTCGCAGGGCCAGCCCCCTTCTATCTGTTGGGCAGTGAGTGCATTTGACAAGCTCCTACAAAGCGTCCTGTGCCATTGTTCCAGTGTCTAGAAGGTGTCAGTCTTCTCACCAGTTACATTCCTTTTGTCCCGTTTCCATGCATCTAGCTTCCCACCCTTTTCATTTTTGAGGTTGAAGGAGGCACATTACTCGAGGGTGATACTGTTTATTTTATGAACCAACTTATTACTTGGTTGAAAGGTGCAGAAATAACTTCAATGCCATTTTCACAGATTCGCTCAGGGTGACTGATAGGCTTTTTTGCTTCATTCTCTCTTTTCTTAAATGTTTCATTACAACTTAGGTGAAAATTTACAAAGCAAATTAGTTTCCCTTCCAGCAATTTATACATCAATTGTTCCATGAACTGGACTGCATTCCCCCACTCCACCCCACCCCCACTGATGTGTCAACCTTCTCCCTTTTCCTGGGCTTTTTCCATTCACCCAGTTTTCCCAGTCTTCCTGCCTGACCTTTGCATTTGATCTTGTATAGCTGATTGTCCTGAGGAGCATGATCCCTTGGGAGATCAGTGCCTGTCTCTCCTGTGGCCGACAGGTGACCTCTGAGAAGGGCTTCAGTACTGTGTGAAGAACACCTACGGGTCACAGTCTCAGGGATTCTCCTAGTCTCTATCCGATCAGTAAATCTGGTATTTTATAACTCTGAGCTTTCTTCTACCTTCTTTTTCTATTCCATACCCTTTATCTTCTACTGTGAAATTGGCCAGAACAGGGCAGGTCCCAGTCAATGATGGCGGCTGAGCACTATCTGGGTCTTATGTGATTAAGTTAGTGTGGGCTGTGGTTCACGTGCTCCACTAACTCACTAGGCTGGGCAGTGACGCAAAATTACTTGATATGGTGTTTCTTGCCATAGTCATTGTAACTCCCATCAAATCACCAGGTGGTACATGTAGAGGAATCCAACATGGAGATTGATCATTTTTGCCATCTCAGAAAAAGTGAAAGAATCCCATGACCATCAAGGTCAAAGGGCCACCAGCAAACAGGGTGTGAGATTCCTGCTTGAAGTATCATCTTGAGTTACAGAAGTTAGACCATGGGACAGAGCAGAGGCGCAGCACAGAGGCCATGAAGCTAAGTAGCAGGTAGGCTTCGTGGCCCACAGACTGAAGCAAAGGCCACACGGCTGAGAGGACATGTCTTCCAGTGGGATGATAAGAGGTATTTCAAGCAGAAGAACTATATCTTTAAAATTCTGAAGCCTTCCCTACAAAATGGCATCTTCCCTGATAAATCACATAATCCTGAGTACTGCCGGTGAGGCCACTGCAGCAACTTATGGAATCCAGCACAGAAGTGAAGTGTTGCGGCAGGGATGGTGGATGGTATCAGAACAGGACAAAGGAGGAGGATTCTTAGAGGACTCGCCCTTGGGCAGACCTGGAGTTGATGGTCCTTTCCCCTTGTATAATGGATGGAGGTCAGACAAGCCCCATGCCATGTCCTCAGGTTGCTTCCTTCAATCTTTGATTGTCTTCATTCTTCTTTGCTCCGGGTGAGTGGACTCGGTTGTAACGTAGCTCCATGGTAGAGGATAGGACACTGTTTATATGAAATGTGTTGTAACAACTGACCTACCAGAGCTCCTTCTAAAAGATGACAGAAAATTCACACACCCTAAGCACACAGCTGTTTATCTTACACCCTCAAGTCCTGTGACTCAGGGCTAAGAAGTGTGCAACGTTTATACCACATACTATACAAGGGGCTTCAAAAAGTTGCTGTGAAAAATCTTATTAATTTTTACTTCCATTTTTTCACCAGCTTTTTGACGCCACCTCGTCTTGTCTGAATGTGTTTACAGCGCACACAAAGGTGGACTCAGGAACGGCCTCTGCCACACCTGTCCGTGCTTGAAGGTGCATTCCCAAATGGCATCTCACACCTGCTCAGCTTATATACCTACTGTGGATCTGCTTGTAAACCACTGTTCGCTGCTACTGTTACTGGGGGATTGTGTATGTAATAGCATTCACCACTGGTGCCCTTTACTCTTCCTTACTTCCTGCTGTCTCCCTTTGCCTTGGTCATGTTGTGCTGACCTCCCCATTATTATGTACGCTCTTTCCTTACCCAAGTTAATACCACCATCCCCTGGGATCCACGAGGTGGGGGGATGGGGATCTCAGTTCCAACACCCCTGATGATGACCTAAATAGTCTGACACTTAAGTCACAAGTCACTTCCATACAATGGCAATGTACTTACATGCAGTCCAAGCCCAGCCTCTCCAAACACAAACCGAAATCACTGCCATGGAGTTCATTCAGAATCAGAGACCCTATAATTACTTATAAAACGGAATATAATGCTAAATCTACGTAAATGGCATTTCACACTTTAAACTCTCTCATTCTTGAGGGATTGTTTTGACCATTTAACTGCTGTTTCAGGAGGACTTCCCACTCCCGTGATCACTTTCCCCACCACTATTTCTGATACACAGTTGATTCTGTGCATGCGGAAGCCAAGAGTACAAAGTCTTAATAGACAATCTCGTCTATATTTAGTTATTTCTCCTCCCTCCCCTTCTTTCTCTGGTAACCACCAAACAATGTTTCTTTCTGTGTGTAAACCTTTTCGCGACTTTTTATAATGGTGATTTCATACAATGTTTGTTCCTTTGTGACTGACTGATTTCAGTAAGCACAATGTCCTCCAGGTTCAGCCACATCGTGAGCTGTTTTGTGGATTCATCAGTTTTAAAATGTTGTACAATATTCCACTGTACACATACTATAGTTTGTTTACCCATTCACCCACCGGCGGGCTCCACAGTTGTTTCCAGCGTTTTCAAACTGGGTAATGCCGTGATGAATACGAGAACACATATCTCCATTTGTGCCAGGGTTCCTATTCCCCGAGGATGTGGACCCAAGGGTGGGACTGTTTACAACAGCTTTAGTTCTAGTTTCTGAAGGAAGTGCCATATTGGTTCCAGTGGTTCTACCATTTTACAGTTCCACCAGTGCTATCTGCCAGTTCTAATCTCCTCACATCCTTTTTTTTTTTACATTTTATTAGGAGCTCTTACAGATATTAATACAATCCATCGTTCCATTAGATGAAGCAAAATTGTACAATTGCTGCCTTTATCATTTTCATATTTTCTTTTCTTCTTGAACTCCTTGATGTCAGCTCCCCATTATCCCCTCCCTCCCCCACCTTCCCGCCTCCTTAAACCCTCAGTATGTTATGTATTCATATTATTATTATTTTGCCTTAACTTACACCATCCATTCTCCTTAAATTCTCCTCACATTCTTGCCGCATGTGGCTTCTGGTTGCTTGATCATTCACTGCTTGAAGGAGAGCCCTCACTGTTGCTTAAATTGGCATCTCTTTTCTTCTAAGGGTGCTTTGAGTTTGAATCAAGTAGATCACAGGGCATCTGCTTGAGACCGCTTATGAGCGGAGCATCTCCTCATACATTTTCTAGCCACCTGACTATCTTCTTTGGTGAGGTGTCTATTCACAACCTTTGTCCACTGTAAAATTAGACTGTTTCTCTTTCAGTTGTTGAGGTGTTGAGATTCTCATATATTTTTGTGATTAATTTTGTCACACATGTCATCGCCACAATTGTTTCAGCCTTTGGTTTTCTGTTCACTCTTTTGGGGAAATTACTGGTGAGCAGAACATTGAGCAGGTCCCAGCTGAGTACACTGTCTTCTGCTGTTTGAGAATTTCTTAGTTATGTGTGACAGACTATGCCATAAATTAGGGCCCCTACGTTTGCCCCTACTTTTTTCTCTTATGATCTGCAGACTTTCAGGTCTAACACTGAGCATGTGATCCATCTTGAGTTGTTGTCTATGGCTGCACTATGGATCTTGTTTCACTGTTCTGCATATAGTGGTTTCAGAACCATTTATTAGGAAGACTACAAGATTGTGAGTGTGTGTTCTTTTCTTAATGCCTTTGAAGCAATACAGCCAGAAAAGTATAAAATTAATATATAGTTAGAAAACTTTTACCAGGAAAATAATTCAGATTATAAAAAAAAGACTACCTTAATTGTAAGAGAGCGATTCCAAGATTTTACAAGATCAGCAGCTCTTAGGTCTTGCCAACTTATTAAGTTGTGAAAATGATTTCCCGTTGTCCTAAGAGAAATGGAAATAGAATTGTAAGAACAATGTAAATTAGCCACTATATTATATTATGAGCGGTTACAAGAGAAAACTAAATATCAGGGCACAAATAGCAGTCTTTCAACCTCTTTATAACCTTTAATCATTCAAATTTTTATTTCTTCCTACCAACCACCCTCAAAGGCTAACTGACTTTCTAAGATACCAGGAATCACCACTTGAGCTACGCTTTACTGAATAACTTGGCTTCATAATAGTTACCCCTTATCTTTCAACTTAATTATCCATCCAGTTATCTACATTATGTAACACACCTCATTGTTTAGTTAGTTCCCTCTTCATTCTCCACAACTGCAAATCCAAAGTCTCACTAGGCTTCCCATGCTCCGGGACACCCCTGGCCTCCTATTTCTTAAAGGAGGTACGAGCAGCTTCCACCTCCTGAGCCAGATGCAATTCAGCTTTGCGCCTTCCTGTTTCACCCTGTGAAACTCAAAATGCTTTTGATGCTTCAGGAACACCATGTTCTTATATCCCCTGGCCTTTGCCAGAAACTTGTTTTCCCCACTTGGCAAACTTCTATTTCCCCTTGAAGACTTGGTTGAAGAGCCTTATGAAATCTCCCCTCAGGCCCCTTCTAGGTGAGCCAATCTCTCTTCTCTAACTGCCTCCGCACCAGTGGAAAAGAGGGACATAGGGCAGGGGCCTATCAGGCTGCACCCTAACTTTTTTTTTGTACCCTCTTTGAGAACACTTCTGCATCTGCACTGGACCGTGAACTGCCTGAGGACTGTGCATTCAGGTGCTGGCCACCTGGCCCACGTACTAAAGACGTTATTTCACAAAGAAATACATGCTGCCCCACCAACCAGGCCCACCACATTGTTTGATAGAAATGTAAGCCATGTGTTTCTTTGGAGAACTTCTACAGGAGTGCATACATACTGAAAAATACAATTCTCAATCACAGATTTTAGAAAGAATGATAAACGCATGTGTGCCAGGAGCTGGGGACACAGCAGTGAACAGAGAGGCATGGAGTTCTGCCTCCTATAAATACCCCTCTACCAGGGAAGTCAAACACATAAACAATTTTTGAACAACTGAATTACAATACAAACAAGCTCCATGAAGACAAGCACGGGAGCCATGCGAATGTTGCTAGGGAGAACAAACCTAATCTAGGGCCAAGGAAGACAGAAGAAATGACTGCAAGAATGCATACAAATTAACCTGGAGGGTAAACATTCCTCACAAAATGGACTCTAAGGTCAAAGGTCCCAAAGCAGGAACAAGTCATAATTATGAGTTAGAAGAATGGGCTGAAGAACAAAGACGGGGAAACATCACAAGAGGAAAGTAGCATCATTAATTCATAACAGCATTAATTCTAGAATACTGGTCTCAGGTAGTGAGTGGTACATGTTCTAATATTTACACAGCACTGAGTTAAGTTTCTCCCTGTCAACAATTAAAGAAGACATGAGGAGAAGCCATAATGAACTGTCTTGAAGTCTTCTAAAACTTTATCCTATTCTTATGGCTATTAATAAATGAGGGCAAGTAAAAAATATATATTGCTATAAACCCATAGAAACCTTTATTAAACCAAAATATCAAAATTCGAAGGTATGGCTTCTCAACATACTTGCCATCTAGGGCTATATACTGCTGCAGGCAATATTTTCACTTCGCTCGAGCCCTTCCCAGACTCTGCCCTGCGCTCTTCGATTGACACAGCAAAACAACAGTTTGGCTACTGGAAAGGATGTTGTGTTAGTCCAGGTAGACTAGAGAAACAAATTCATAGACACTCATATGTGTATAAGAAAGAGCTTTATATACAAGAACAACTGAATACTGAGAAAACATCCCAGCCCAGTCCAGATCAAGTCCATAAGTCTGATAGTAGCCCATATAGCCAATACCAGTCTATAAATTTCTCTTCAGACTCAGGAGACACATGCAATGACGCCAACTGAAGGAAGGTCACAGGCCACTGGGTGGAGAGTCTTGTGGATCCGGTGCACTGGCATGGGTTTCTACATGGCTCCTCCAGCTCCAGGGCTCTAGCATAGTGCCATGTGTCTTGACATCAGGAATACGAAGTAGAGAGTCTGTATCTGGCTCCCAGTGAACAGGCTAAACTCTACCCCTTCACTCTTTAGTCTCAAAATGACAACAGATTATGTAACTGCCACAGATAGAGACAGCGCTTATTTTAGGTGTTATTTGAGTTTGGGAAACAAAAATCATTCTGGAAGGACAGGATCAAGTTAGAAGGGTGAATGAGGTGAGGTGTTTCCCAATGAAATTCCTGTAGGAGACCCTTCACCAACCTCAAAGAATGAGCAAGTGCATTGCCATCACAGGAAAAAAATTCCATACAACTTTCTCCTGGCCCTTTTTCTCACCAAGACAGCTTCCAATTTTCTCAAAACTTGTTCCTAATAAACTTCTGTGATCACTGTTTTTGAGAAAATCTATCAGGATTACCCCTTGGGAGTCCCAGCAAGCAGTTGCCTAGCTTCCTGAGACGGCCTGTTGCCTTGAATGTAACTGGACCAACGGATTCTCTCAGAAGTCACTGAGAGAATGGGCTTTTTTTTTTGGCCAAAGCTAGCTACAGATCAGAGACAGGGTGAAACATGGTTGGTTTGTAATAAACCTGTCCCATATAAACTGGAGCCTAGTAGCAATACTTCTTGATGTACCCTGGTATTTATATGAGAAATCAGGAAGCACCATGATTTATTTGCTATGCAAGTATGAAATACTAAAATTAAAACTATGTTTGGTGCTATGGGAACCCGAGGCAGCTACGGTATATACTTGTATTAGCAGTCTGCAGCGTCCTTGCAGGTTGCTGCACGTATGTGTATATATCTCAGTTCAGGAACCAGCAGTGCCTCACTCCCAGAAGCCCTCACATGGTTACCCAGTGACCCTTCTCGTGACTCAGAATGATTTCCGCTGCTAACTGGCACACGCCCTGAGCCGCTGGGGTTAGTTGGCATAAGGCTCCCCAAGGGACACGGTGACTGAAAAAACAAAACAGCTCATGATTTTTGCCCTGGAACAAAAAGAGATTTATAACAACCAGAATGAAAACACTTAAGAATTATTTTAGAAAACAAGCTAAATGCACTACTAATTAAATATGTGGGGCTTCAACAAATTCATTGAAAAATTCCATTATCTTTCAGTTTCATTTTTCCACAATTTTTTTTGAATCTCCCTCTTATACTGCAGCAAAACAAAACAAAAAATCCTAAGAACATTGAAAACAACAACAACAAAACCTTCCAGGATTGAAAAGAGGCCATAAAACTGAGCTTCCTGGGCTCCGGGTGGTGAGAAAAGGAGAACTATAGAAACAAAGTCCAGAGTTTTCACCTTGCTGGGAGCAACTAGAGAGAAATAATACTTCTAAAGCCATGATGACAGCAATGCCCTCGGACGCGAGAGAAAACTACAATGCGTTGGGGAGAGGAGGTGCTGGCTGGGCGTGGGACTAAGAGATTGTTCCACAAGGGTCCGATTTGTCTTTCTTTTTCTAAAAAATGAGCAAGAAGTACTTCCTGCTAAGTGAGGGCTGTCTGCTCCTTGGTGGTGAGTCACAAAGGAGTCAGGGAGCTAGTAGAATCTGCCAGCCTTACACACCGCAGCGGCCCACTGGGGTCCTCTGTGTAGTGACTCTCGCTGCCATCGAGACAATGCTGACTCACAGTGAGCCCCTGCGTGCACTGCAAGTCTTCATTATCTTACAGTAAATGAGGCACAGACATGGGTGGGTTTCTTTTGGAAAAAATAGCTGGCACATACAAGCAGAGATTCCAAAATGCAGGAAAGAATAGTCATTCCAAACCTGGGGGAAAAGGACAGCCATGAAACCAAACTCAAGTTCATTGTTTTAGGGAGAAATCATATCCCTTTACAAGCCCATCTGCAGGGACTCAACTGACTCCTGTCTTCCTTGTGAATGGCAGGCTTCCTGCTCCAGGCTTCTAAAGTGGGGGTGATTTTGATACACAGAGGGCATTTGGCAAGGTCTGGAAACATTTTTGGTTGTCATAACTGGGAGAATGCTACTGATAACGAGTGCGCAGAGGTCAGCGAGACTGCTAGACATCATATAACACCCAGGGCAGCCTGTCAAAGCAAATAAGTATCACCAGTGCCTCTCTAGAAACTCTGGTCCACATAGACAAGCTTACCTATTCCATCCTCTGACAAATATCTGACCTAAGATCGGCCAGTCCCAGGGAACTAGCAGGGCATAAGGGTATCATTCTGAAAAACACCATGCACTGAAAACAGAAAACCTGTCTAGAGGAGACGAGCCAGGCCTCAGTCTAGACTAGACCAATGTTCCACCTGCTTTAAGGAGAATTCTACATGCACACAATCCAAAACCAATCGCTCCATCCCTTCCACCTCTGATGGCACAGGGTTGATGTGCTTAGCTGCTAATTGAAAGCTTAGAGGTCCAAATACCCCAACCGCTCTGAGAAAAGACCTGCAATTGACTCCCGGAAACACTTTAGCCTGGGAAGCCCCATCAGGCAGTTCTACTCAGTCCTCACAGAGATGGAATCTGCTCAACAGCACACCACCCCCATCACAACCACCTCTGAGACACAGTTATGCGTCAGTTTGGTGATCCTATCGTCATGACAGTCAACCCAAACCAAACTCACTACCATCCAGTCAATGCCGGCTCATAGCGACCCTATGGGACAGGGTAGAACTGCCTGTGAGTTTCCGAGACTGTCACTGTTTATGAGAGTAGAGTCTCGTCTTCCTCTTGCGGAGCTGCTGGTGGTCTCCAACTGGCGACCTTACAGATCATAGCCCAATTCATAACCACTACCCCAACCAGGGTTCCTACCATAGCACTAGTTGAAATCAATTCAAGGGCAATGAATTTAGAGGTTTTGTAATGTGGGGGGAAGTGGATATTATAGGTGGTCCTCATCCAATCAGTTGAAAGCCTTAAGAGTGGAAACCAAAGTTTCCTTGGGAAGAAGGAATTCTGCCTCAAAACTGTGACACAGACATTGAGCAGTTTTCCATTTGCAGAAATCCATAGATTTCTACTCAAGTCTGCATCATCAATTCTGTTGTTTCTTTCGTAACAACAGTCCTTGCCTGAGTTTCCAGTCTGCTGGTCTGCCCCAACATTTCAGATATGCCAGCCTCTACACTGTATGAGCCAACTGTCTGAATAACTCATGTATAAGATGAGGCCTTCTATTCCCATAAAGGTTTAGATCTCAGAAACCCAAGGGCCATTCAGACTAAGACCCATCGCCAGTGAGTCTCTGATCCATATGTACACACATCTATCTCCTCTATTGGGCGCCCATCGCTACCACACACACCACCGCCCAACCAGTCCCTCTTCTTACATTCTCTGTAGTTTCTGTCATATCAGATACCAAAAATATTGGCAAATTTAAATTTTTTCTTCCCTCATACTGAATTAGAGGCCATGTCTATGCTTATTTACCATGAATGTATGATGAAGCTTCAGAAAAAGTTCACGGAAAGATGGAATGAAAAGATAATGAAAAATTTCCAACGTTGGAAGCCCCTTCCTATTTCTTGGATTCACTCCTCCCATACCTGCAGGCCACTTTCCTTATCCACTGCCTGAAATTCCAGGTGAACGTTGGCGTCTGGTGCTTTCTAACAAAGATTCACTTTGCAGGTGTTGTTGTTGTTGTTGTTTTAAAAAGCAAGAAGCACATATTGAGTAGAATATGGGGGTAATGGACCAAGATTTGGGGCCAAATCTTGGCTCTGTTTACTGAGTGATCTTGAGCAGTGTACACATTACTCTGAGCCTCCGTTTCTTTCTGTAAAAAAGAGATCTAATAGCTAAAGATCATGCCTGTTTTAAGGATAATGGAGCATCCAGTCCTGAGAACAGGAAAGGTGTGGACTGCACGGCTAGTATGATGGGATCAGGGCTTTTGTCTGTACATGTTTCAGGCCAGATACTGAAATCTCAAATGTGGCATGACTAGAACATGCAAAGTATGAATCATAGCATGGTGCTTCTGCGACACATTGGTTCCCTTGATTCTTTTTAAGTATAAATTACTTTTATCACCCAATTCATACTTACCAGAAAGCTAATTTACTGCCAGAGAGAAAGAGGGAATAAAAGAATTTGAGTGATAGCAAGAGTCTTATTGTTGTTTTATTAAATCTAGCCCAGATGACATGCAGGGAATACTGTGGTAAGCCAGTAAGTGGGCTCATTTCCGTCCCTTCTAACAAGGACCGTGTTCCTAATTCAAAGCACAACTGCCCAAACAGGTTTCACAGCAGCAACAAGGTACATATCTCACAGCACACTTACTTATCCCACGTAATAAAGGTTGCTCTCTGCGTCGAAATGCCAAGCCCAACAATTTGATTCATCTCTACTCCAGCAGCTAAAGGAAACATGGATATCAAAGTCAGTGACACTAAATAATGATAATTCACTGGCGCCAAAATCATCTGTAACCCATACACCCCAAATATTTCCTGACTCAGTCATCTTAAAGCCGAGCAATAGGTTAAGTCAGCTTAACGGATCTAGTAAATGAGGAACACCTTGGACTAAGTTTAATGGGAAAGACCAGATGGGATGTGGTTTAGAAGACTGCAGGGAAAAGACGTCTGTACAGGCAGGTGAGAGTGGGCGCAACGCACGATGCACAGCATCAAGTTCACCACACTAAGTACCTCGGGCTGTTGAGGTGGCGGAGGTTTGACTGTGTCTACTCTCAACAATAAAATAAAATGTAGGGGAACAAAAGTCAGCGACACCTTTCTTGACAAGACTGCAATGTGGAAAAGAAATGGTTCAACAGGATCTTTTTGTAAAATCATTTTATTGGGAGCTCTAACAGATATCATAACATCCCATAGTTTAATCGCATCAAGCAGTGTTGTACAATTGCTAGCACAATCAGTTTCAAAACATTTTCTTTCTTCTTGAACTCCTTGATATCTGCTCCCTTCATCCCCTCCCTCCCTCACCATACCCCCCAGGATCCCTTAGACCTTTTTTTTTTTTAAATAGTCCCCCCCCCCCCATATCTTACACAATCCGACACATCCATTGACACACAATTCTGTCATCTGACCCCACGGAGCGGGGTTGCACGATCATCAGTACTGCTGCTCCCCGTTCCCTGAGATGCAGCTGCACACCCACACAGGTTCTAAGGGACGGCTGTGTAACTGATGGCAAGAACTTAAGAGACAGACAGAAGTTTTAGGTGCTTACCTCTGCCATGGCTTCAGGAACTAAGTCCGAGTAGAGAGAGATTGTATTCTCACATTGCCTTATAGACTCTTGGGGCACGCAAGTCCCCTAATGCAGGTAACCACATTATGTAACCAAGTGGGCTGTACCCGAACCCTAGAGGTCCCTGAGTTCAATGGAGGACTAATCTAACACCACTGCTGGGGGCAGGTAAGGGGGTGTGACTGTCCCCTGAGCAGGAGAGCAATAGCCACATGACTGCTCCTACAGATAAAGCTGCGGGGCCAGCTAGCAATCAGCCCCGTGCTCGTCAGCGGTAACTTTAAGGTGGCACTATTATGGGAGGATATTGTGGGGATTAATCTTAGTTATGAGCATGTGATTGGGACTTATCTCTAACTCACAACTGTGAAGGCCTCCCTCCACCCAGAATCCTGGCCTAAAATATGAGAATAATTTGTTCACATGTATCAGACTTATCTCACAGTGCGCTTACTTATCTGGCTTTAAATATATATATATATTTTCATACTGGGGTTTGTCTCCGCTGTATTTTGTCATTTTGGTAGCCTTCTTGACTCTCAATTATGTGGTTTTCTATGTTTGGGGTATTAGAAACCCAGGATAGGTGTATCTACAGATGGGGGAGGTAAATGGGGGATGAGGGGAACCTGATATTAAGGAGTTCAAAAAGGAAGAAAATGTTTTGAAACTGTGGTGGTGATTGTACAACACTGCTTGATATGGCTGAACTATGAAATGGTATGATGCATGGATTAGTTCCAATAAAATGTGTTTTTTTTTTAAAAACCACCTGGATTTAACCTTTTAACAGAATGTCTGGAGTCAGCACAGCACTGTCAAAATAGCTTTATAGTTTTT